GCTTGAGCCACCGCGCCCGGCTGGGCAATTTCTTGTATAAGTTTATGCGTGGATATTCTTCTCAGGAATTTTAAACTCAGTATATCCAAAATTGAAACATTTCTTTCCCCCTTCACCAGCTTCTATCAGAACCAGCTCTTCTTTCATCTTGTTTGGTGAAAACAAAGTTAGAGATATAACCATCCGACTTTCCTCTTCTAGCTACTGTTCCACCCAGCCTTAATACAAAATCATACCTAGGTGGTTTTCCATCCTAAATATTTCTCAAATGCATTTTCTTTATCCTCACTGCTGCCACCAAGACAATCTTTTTCAAATGCAGATAGGACTCTTCTACTCCCATGTGGCTACCCATACTTATTGAAAGAGATTGTAGGTCTGAAGGTTAGTATAAACGTAAGTGGTCTTGAACTAAATAATTTTCTGAGCCCCAGTTTTCTCATCCGTAAAATCAGGGTATTATCATCTACCCTCATGTAAGATAGCAAATCTAAAGCCCCTGGTGTTATATCTGGTACATAGTAGATAATTAGCCAATACAGACAAGTTTTTGCATAAATTTCCACCTGGATATTCCTTTACAGGCATCTTAAACCTATATGCCTCACTCTTTAACCTTTTCTGTCCTTGATTGGTTTTAATTAGAATATAAGCCGCGATTGAGTGATCTCAGTTTAGTTTTAGCATAGTTAAAACCTGGTTAGTATCAGGCCAGGTTTTAACTACGCTCACAGCTATGATCCTGGCACTTTGGGAGGCCGAGGCTGGTGGATCACAAGGTCAAGAGATCAAAACCATCTTTGCCAACATGATGTGTCTACTAAAAATACAAAAATTAGCTGGGCATGGTGGCACATGCCTGTAGTCCCAGCTACTAGGAAGGCTGAGGCAGGAAAATCACTTGAACCTGAGAGGCAGAGGTTGCAGTGAGCCGAGATCGTGCCACTGCACTCCAATCTGGTGTCAGAGTGAGTCTTTGTCTCAAAAACAAACAAACAAACAAAAACCCTGGTTTAGTATCTTTTGAAAGTTAGCCTCCAATTTTGAGATGTGGCTGCATAAATAGGCACATTCTTTTAAATATAATATTTTCTCATCTAACTAAAATTACTTTCAAGGTTCACAAACTCATTACTTTCTCTTTAATCATGTTAGACAGCCACCTCACTTTATGTGCTAAGAGCTACTTTGTTTTAATCTAAAATCTTCTGATAATTTTTATCAGCTAATCTATATATAAAAATATAGATTTCAGAATATGCTGTGAGAAAGAGTAGATATTTTAAATTTTGATCTACATTTAATTTTTGTTCACACTTTTTCTAGTGTGAATAAATAGCTAACATTTATTGAATGTTTGCTTAATGCCAGGAATTGTGCTAATTTGATCCTCTTGACTATCTTGGAAGTAAAATTTCTATGATTCCTGTTTTTCAGATGAGAAAAAAACAGAAGCATCATTAGAGAGGTGAACAACTTGACTTAGAATTAATGCCTGGCTGATAAATGTGGAAGTGAAAATTTAAAACCTAAGATTTGTCTAACTTAAGCCATTCTACTTTATCAACTAGGCTATATACCTTATTTGGCAAAATTTTTCAATCCAACTGTAAAAAAAAAAAAAAAAAAAATTTTTTTTTTTTTTTTTTGCATTCCCTTAAATTGTGTGTTGTTTAGCAACATACCTCTTTCATAAGAATGTCTGAAAGCAATGTTTCATCAGTAATTTGGAATAAAATGAGTGGGAAGTAAACTTTCTGAATTATTGAATAGTTCAAATTGCAAACTGCTACACGTCCTTTTTTTTTTTTTTTTTTTTTTTTTTTTGAGGCAGAGTCTTGTTCCGTTGCCAGGAGCCAGGCTAGAGTGGAGTCGCGCGATCTCGGCTCACTGCAACCTCCACCTTCTGGGTTCAGGCAGTTCTCCTGCCTCAGCCTCCCGAGTAGCTGGGACTACAGGCGTGCACCACCATACCCTTTGTATTTTTAGTAGAGACGGGATTTCACCTTGTTGGCAGGATGGTCTCGATCTCTTGACCTCGTGATCCGCCCACCTTGGCCTCCCAAAGTGCTGGGATTACAGGCGTGAGGCACTGTGCCCGGCTACACGTACATTTTTATTATTTGTAAATGATACTCAAAGTCTAAATTAGTAATTGTAGTTAATACTGATCTTTAATCAAGAATTTTAAATGAGCACCAAATTAAACATGTAACTACACGTATACATATTCATCTATACACAGAGATAAATGAAAAAAAATTCTTTTTTAGTGAAGTTTTGCTCTTTTTGCCCAAGCTGGAGTGCAATGGCATGATCTCGGCTCACTGCAACCTCTGCCTCCCAGGTTCAAGTGATTTTTCTGCCTCAGCCTCCGGAGTAGGTAGGATTACAGGTGTGCACCATCACATCACGCCCAGCTAATTTTGTATTTTTAGTAGAGATAGGGTTTCACCCTGTTAGCCAGGCTGATCTCAAACTTCTGACCTTGGTGATCCGCCCACCTTAGCCTCCCAAAGTGCTGGGATTACAGGCGTGAGCTACCACTCCCGATGAAATTTTATTTTTAAAGAGACTTATCTAACTTATAAAATTTCAGGTTATACTTTGTGGTTTCTGAACTGCATTTCCTCATCATCACCTTCCTCTCTCATCCCATACTTCTATCAGACTGTGTACTGTGCATTACAGGAGGTACTCATGAGCCATTTTATTCTGTAGTGGTAGCTCTTCCTCCAGGTTCCTGGAGAGCAAATCTTAGTAACTGTTCTGATCACTTTGAGGAAATACCAACAATCTTTTCAAGAACTAATGTTAGGTGAAAGCTTTCCTTCCTTTCCCAGTTCAGGCTTACTACATGCCTACAGTTGAAGAGTCAGGTTTGATTTGCCTCCTTTTTCTTTCTTTCTTCCTCAACTTTCCTCTTTCACTCCTCTTCATTTGCTGGTATGGTTTCTGGCCCTTCCAGGAAGAAAAGGTCTTTAATGGTAATACTAGTAGCAGCAGCAACTAACGTTTCTATAGCATTGGATTATGTTGTTAGTTACTATTCCAAACACTTAACGTGTATTAGATCATTTAATCCTCAGAACTCTATTAGGTATGTTGTGTTATCTTTATTATACTGCTGAATATATTAAGATACAGAATGTTTGTTTAATGACTTGCCTAAGGTCACACAGGTAAAAATAGCAGAACCAGCATGCAGAGCCAGCATTCTGGCTCCAGAGTCTGTACTCTCAACCACTCCACTATGTTGCCTTTATGTATGTTGGGAGATAGTAGGCATACTCCTTGGCCTTGGCTGTTGTTTAAATCAGAGTCATGTGCCCTTTAGAGTTTTTTCAAGTGTAACGTATTTTCCATAGACCGGAAATAAAGGATCAACATGCCTTGAAGCCCCTTTCCCTGCAGGGGAGTAAGCAGGGAAGTAGAATGGGGTTTCCAACTCACAACAGACTGATCACTCTTAGCAAAAATCCTTTTCATATCTACTCTTTGAACATGGAAGATGATTGAAGGTGGATGTAACTCAGGTTGAAAATAGTTTTCCACTACCCCCTTGTGTAAGGTGCCTTTGTGCCTCATTTGACAATGTAGTACATTATCTATTGTTTGGGACCTATTCAAGATTGAAATAGTTTCATTTTAATACTCTGATGTAGATGTTTTCCAAATATGCTTTTTAATTCTTGCCTTCACACCTTTGTTCATGCAGATGGTCCCTGGATTATAACTAATTCACTTGCTCAGAAAGCATGTTTCTTTCTTCAACCACATGCTCCCAAAGTAAGCACTCTTGAAGGCCATGCTTTAAAAGCAGAAGCCAGTTTCTTAGGATGCAGTAAATGAACAAAACACTTTATATATAGCCCTCCCATTTTCTTCCTCTTCATCTCATTTTTGTGAGACCTAAATCAGCAAATACATTAAATGATGGTTTGCATAGACCAGTCCCTGGCTGTCTAGTGTCTCATTATAGTCAGTTGTCTTTAGGAAGGGTATGTGGAGCACTCAGTTTGCATTTGAGCTTCTGTCAGTAACTATGGTCAAGATAATTATTTCAGTAGCGTTACCTGGCTGCTTTGAAACAGATTTATGCCTTATCCTTTTGTGAAGTCTGACATGGAACAGTTCCAAATTGATAGTTGTGTCTTCTCAAGTTAGAAGAGTCTGTACTTTTTGTTTGTTTCTTTTAGACAGGGTCTCACTCTGTCACCAAGGCTTGTAGTGCACTAGCACAATCTCAGCTCACTGCAACCTCTGCTTCCTAGGCTTAAGTGATTCTTCCACATCAACATCCCAAATAGCTGGGACTACAAGCCCATGCCACCATATCCAGCTAATTTTTGTATGTTTTTAGTAGAGACAGGACTTCACCATGTTGGCCAGGGTGGTCTCAGACTCCTGAGCTCAAGCAATCTGCCTGCGTTGGCCTCCCAAAGTGCTGGGATTACAGGTGTGAACCACCATGCCTGGCAATCTTTTTAAATTCATCTTGAAATCATTTGCGTTTTTTTCTTTCTACTTCATTTTTTTCTTTTTCTCATCTTTCTTTTCCTCTATACATTTACCTGCATAAAACATTCACAGGGATGATTATGTAATGGATTGTTTAGTGTTTACGCTGGCATTGCCTACTGCATGCTCACATTTAGAAACAGGAATAATAATATGCCTACTGACAGATATGATGATGATCAACTAATCAGTGTGAAGCGTTACAAATACTGTCTGGCACATAGAAGACACTCTGCAATTGTCATTATTTACAAACTGTTGCAGCCCTGCAGCTCATTAAAACATTGGTTCACAGACTTCACTGATTGGACCGTTTGGAAGGCAGATAGGGAGAATATATTTCTATACAGTCCCTATCTTGAAGTTTCTCTCATAATCTTTCAGCTTTTTAATTTAGTACCGTGTCCACATGAAAATGATCTAAATCACATTTAAACTACTAAAATATCAATTAATGATTTATTTTATGTATTTTTTAGGATATTTCTGATTCATTTGCATCCTTGAAGAGCATCTGTAGAAGAGGAAGTAAAAGATGGGTGTGAAAACATTTACTCATAGCTCCTCTTCCCACAGCCAGGAAATGCTTGGAAAGCTAAATATGCTGCGAAATGATGGACATTTTTGTGATATCACTATTCGTGTCCAGGACAAAATCTTCCGGGCACATAAGGTGGTACTAGCAGCTTGCAGTGATTTCTTTCGCACCAAACTTGTAGGCCAAGCCGAGGATGAGAACAAGAATGTGTTGGATCTGCATCATGTTACAGTGACTGGCTTTATACCTCTTTTAGAATATGCTTACACAGCCACTCTATCGATTAACACAGAAAATATTATTGATGTTCTAGCAGCAGCCAGCTATATGCAAATGTTCAGTGTCGCCAGCACCTGCTCAGAGTTTATGAAATCAAGCATTTTATGGAATACACCCAACAGCCAACCTGAAAAGGGTCTAGATGCTGGGCAAGAAAATAATTCTAACTGCAATTTTACTTCTCGAGATGGGAGCATTTCTCCCGTGTCCTCAGAGTGCAGTGTGGTAGAAAGAACGATTCCTGTCTGCCGAGAATCCCGGAGAAAGCGTAAAAGCTACATTGTTATGTCTCCTGAAAGTCCTGTAAAGTGTAGCACACAAACAAGTTCACCCCAGGTACTGAATTCTTCAGCTTCCTACTCAGAAAATAGAAACCAACAAGTTGACTCTTCCTTAGCTTTTCCCTGGACTTTTCCTTTTGGAATTGATCGAAGGATTCAGCCTGAGAAAGTTAAGCAAGGAGAAAATACCCGGACTTTAGAATTACCTGGCCCATCTGAGACTGGTAGAAGAATGACTGATTATGTGACTTGTGAGAGCACAAAAACTACCTTGCCTTTAGGTACCGAAGAAGATGTCCGGGTCAAAGTAGAAAGGTTAAGTGACGAGGAAGTCCATGAGGAAGTGTCCCAGCCTGTCAGTGCATCTCAGAGTTCCCTGAGTGATCAGCAGACAGTTCCAGGAAGTGAACAAGTCCAAGAGGACCTTCTGATTAGTCCACAGTCTTCCTCTATAGGTATAATGTCTTCTGTGTTTTTCATGGTGCTGTAAAGTCAATTCAAACATTTTTAAGTTCCTGGTAGATAAGTTTTGTGCTTGGTCATATAGGAAATATAAAGAAGAGTGAAAAGTGATGACTGGATTTGTTTAAGATGCCATTAGCACTATCGCTTATTTTTTACAAGTTGCACATTGGTGAAGATAGAAATAATTGAATAATATCTGATGGGACAAAGGCAAATACACACACACACAAAACTCAGTTAAATCCAGTTTGTGTTTTATTCTTAATTAAAATATGTATTGAAAACTTACCATGTGCCAAGTAAACATTGATGATACATAAAGAAAAACACATAGTCCCTGCAAGAAAGAGATTGATCATCTAATTGGGGAAGCAGATATGTAAGTAAATGATTACAGTGAACTATTTAAAGTGCTGGGGTGTGAACAAAGTAGTATGGTTGCAACAAAGAAAAGAGCAAGTTAACACTATATATTTGAGCTGGGTCTTATGCAATAAGTAAGAGTTTACCCAAGTGAGAGAATGTCATTTCTGTGAAAACATAAAAGCACAGAGCGTGTATGCAAACACAGAGGTATGGAAGAGCATTGTGTGTTTGGTAAACAGTGAATTCAGTGCAAAATTATGTAAATAAGCACAGATGCCTGAAAGTGCAGGAAATAGTGGGAGATAAGATAAAAAGGAGGAGTTGAGCGCGGGCTGTGAAGAGCCTTGAATCCTAGTTTCAGTAAGGGTTGCATTTAAGTACAGGTAACGGAATCCCTCCTGCAGTAACTTAAACCATAGCAAGGTTTTATTTTTATCACATAAAGTATTGAGAAATAAAAGTCCAGGGCTGGTACAGTGAATCTTCAATGTAATCAGTGGCCTAGGCGACTTGTATATTTATAATGTGCCATCTTCTGTTTGTTGGTTTCATCCATAAGATGCTCACTTTATCTTCAGCTTTGTATTCTAGAAAGGAGCAATGCTTGTATAAAGAAAGCACTTATGTTCTCAGAAATTCCTAAAAAACTTCTGCTGGTCTGTGTCCCATTGTCTTTCCTAACTGCAAGGAAATCTGGGAAGATAATGTATATTAGTTGGGTATATAATTGAACAAAATTAGAGCAGAATGGATATTGAATATGCAGCTAGCAGTATCTACCACAAGTACACCAAGTAAGCTTGGATTTTATCTTAGTGGTAGCTAGTAACTAGGAGTCTACATTAAAGGAATTTTTAAAAAAAATGCAGATATTTTAGGAAAATTGGTATTGACATGCAGTGAGTTTGGTTGTATGGAGACAGTCTCAAAGACCAGTTGCAGTACACTTAACTTGGTGTGGATGAAGAGTCAAACCATGTGAAAGAAAACAGATGTTACAAGACTTTGTAAAGAAAGACTCAGTACCTGATGATACTGAATATGTGTATTGAAAGAACAGGAGCGGTCAGTACTCTGATGAGTAGCAAATAGTGGTCACTTTATTATATTCCATTGATTCAAAGTCACAAATTTTCATATTTTGTTATTTCTGAATCCAGCTAATGTCTTACACTTGGAAATCTTTTACAGTTGCTTTTTTCTTCCTTAGTACTGTAGAAAATAATGGCAATCGTACGAATCTATTCAGTGCAGTTATTGCAGTATGAAAATCAGTGGAAGGTGTTCAGAATCCAGTTTTGTGAGTAAATCATCAAGGTCAATTCTGTGTAAATTGTGCTTGAATGATGATCAAGCAGTGTCACGCCAAAAACAGTAGAAAAGACAACATTAGTGAGACTACCAGCTTGGGACTTTGCTACTAGTAGTGGCAAATTTAGTCTCAATAGGAGAAAACAGAAGAGCCAAAACCAAGGGGGACTGATCCATGGGGAAACTATATTCAGGTTTGGGAAGGGACAGAAGAACAGTGAATAATACAGATTTGTTCAAAAGATTGGAGAACTAGGAAGACCATATTAACTTTGTTAGTTTCTTGTGTTTTTACCCTCTGTGTGAGTTTCCCTGGGCTGCTGTAACAAAGTACCATAAACTGAGTGGTTTAAAACAAATTTATTCTCTCACAGCTTAGGAGGCCAGAAGTCTGAACTACAGGTGTTACCTCCCTTTGAAGGGTCTTTCTCTCTGAAGATTGTAGGGAAGAATCCTTCCTTGCCTCTTCCAGCCTGTGGCAGCTGCCCACAATCCTTGGTGTTCTTTGGCTTGTAGCTCCAGTATCTGATATTTTACTTTAGTATCTGCATTTGTCTTCAGGTGACCTTCCCTGTCTCTCTCTTCTGTCACTGGCTTCAAATCTTTCTCTCCATGAAAGGATACCAGTCAGTGGATTCAGGACCAACAGTAATCAAACACGACCTCATCTTAACTTGATTACATCTACAAATACCCTATTTCCAAATAAGGTCACATTCATTGGTACCAAGGATTAACATGTAGTGTCTTTTTTTTTTTTTTTTAACTTGAAGTTCTGGGATACATGTGCTGAACATGCAGGTTTGTTACATAGGTATACATGTGCTGTGGTGCTTTGCCGCACCTGTCACCCTGTCATCCAGATTTTAAACCCTGCATGCATTAGGTATTTGTCCTAAGGCTCTCCCTCCCCTTTCCCCCCACTCCACCCCCCAATCAGGCCCCGGTGTGTGATGTTCCCCTCCCTGTAGCCATGGGTTCTCATTGTTCAACTCCCACTAATGAGTGAGAACATGTGGTGTTTGGTTTTCTGTTTCTGTGTTAGTTTGCTGAGGATGATGGTTTCCAGCTTCATCCATGACCCTGTAAAGGACATGAACTCATTCTTTTTTATGGCTGCATAGTATTCTGTGGTGTATATATGCCACATTTTCTTTATCCAGTCTATCATTGATGGGCATTTGGGTTAGTTCCAAGTCTTTGCTATTGTAAACAGTGCTGCAGTAAACGTCTGTCCACATACGTCTTCATAGTAGAAAGATTTATAATTTTTTGAGTATAAACCCAGTAATGGGATTGCTGGATCAAATGGTATTTCTAGTTCTAGATCCTTGAGGAACCACCACACTGTCTTCCACAATGGTTGAACTAATTTACACTCCCACCAACAATGTAAAAGCATTCCTGTTTCTCCACTTCCTCACCAGCATCTGTTGTTTCCTGACTTTTTAATGATCGCCATTCTGACTGGAGTGAGATGCTATCTCATTGTGGTTTTGATGTGCATTTCCCTAATGACTGCTGATGAACTTTTTTTCATATATTTGTTGGCCACATAAATGTCATGTTTTGAGAAGTGTTTGTTCACATTCTTCTCCCACTTTTTGATGGGGTTGTCGTTTTCTTGTAAATTTGTTTATGTTCCTTGTAGATTCTGGATATTAGACCTTTGTCAGATGGATAGATTGCAAAAATTTTCTCCCATTCTATAGGTTACCTGTTCACTCTGATGATCGGTTTCTTTTGCTGTGCAGAAGCTCTTTAGTTTAATTAGATCTCATTTGTCAATTTTGGCTTTTCTTGCAATCGGTTTTGGTGTTTTAGTCATGAAGTCTTTGCCCATGCCTGTGTTTTGAATGATATTGCCTAGGTTTTCTTCTAGGGTTTTTATAGTTTCAGGTTTTATGTTTAAGTCTTTAATCCATGTTGAGTTAATTTTTGCATTAGGTGTAAGGAAGGGGTCCAGTTTCTGTTTTCTGCATATGGCTAGCCGGTTTTCCCAACACCATTGATTAAATAGGGAATCCTTTCCCCATTGCTTGTTTTTGTCAGGTTTGCCGAGGATCAGATAATTGTAGATGTGTGGTGTTATTTCTGAGGCCTCTGTTCTGTTCCATTGGTCTATATATCTGTTTTGGTACCAGTACCATGCTGTTTTGGTTACTATAGCCTTGTAGTATAGCTTGAAGCCAGGTAGCGTGATGCCTCCAGCTTTGTTCTTAGGATTGCCTTGACTATAGAGACTTTTTGGTTCCATATGAAATTTAAAGTAGTTTTTTTCTAGTTCCATGTAGAAAGTCAATAGTAACTTGATGGGAATAGCATTGGATCTATAAATTACTTTGGGCAGTATGGTCATTTTCACGATACTGATTTTTCCTCTCCATGAGAATGGAATTTTTTTTCCGTTTGTTTGTGTCCTTATTTCCTGGAGCAGTGGTTTGTAGCTCTCCTTGAAGAGATCCTTCATGACTCTTTTAAGTTATATTCCTAGGTATTTTATTTTCTTTGTAGCAATTGTGAATGGGAGTTCACTGATGATTTGCCTCTCTGCTTGTCTGTTATTGGTGTATACGAATGCTTGTGATTTTTGCACATTGATTTTGTATCCTGAAACTTGGCTGAAGTTGTTTATCACCTTAAGGAGTTTTGGGGCTGAGACAATGTAAGTATACAATCATGTCATCTGCAAACAGAGACAGTTTTACTTCCTCTCTTTCTATTTGAATACCCTGTATTTCTTTCTTTTGCCTGATTACTCTGGCCAGAACTTGCATTACTGTGTTGAACAGGTGTGGTGAAAGAGGGCATCCTTGTCTTGTGCCAGTTTTCAAAGGGAAATGCTTCCAGCTTTTGCTCATTCGGTATGATATTGGCTGTGGGTTTGACATAAATAGCTCTATTATTTTGAGATATGTTCCATCAGTACCTAGTTTACTGAGGGTTTTTTTTAGCATGAAGTGGTGTTGAATTTTATCAAAGGCCTCTTCTACATCTATTGACATAATCATGTGGTTTTTGTCATTGGTTCTGTTTATGTGGTCAATTGATTTGCATATTTTGAATCAGTCTTGCATCCCAGGGATGAACCCAACTCGATCATGGTGGATAAGTTTTTGATGTGCTGCTGGATTCAGTTTGCCAGTATTTTATTGATGATTTTTGCATCAATGTTCATCAGGGATATTGGCCTGAACTTTTCCTTTTTTGTTGTATCTCTGTCAGGTTTTGGTATCACGATGATGATGGCCCCATAAAATGAGTTAGGGAGGAGTCCCTCTTTTTATGTTGTTTGGAATAGTTGCAGAAGGAG